CAACCACACCCAGGTCAAGGAGGATGCAGACACTGGGTGATTTAAATATCAATGTAGCCCCTACTCTGAATGCATCCTGCCACCCTATCAGGGAGCAGAAGAATGAAGGGTGGTATCACAAGGCCTCTTGGAACAAGGATAAGAATCGACCTGATCTAGAATACAGAAAATGACATTTATCTGGGGCATGGTAAAATGGCTCAATTGGCCAACTGGGATCTCATATGGGTGCCAATTCATGTCTTGGCTGCTCCACTTCCCAACCCTGCTTTTGGCCTGGGAAAACAGTCAAGGACGTTCCAAAGTCAAGGGACCCTGCACTCTCATGGGAGACCTGGAAAAAGCTCCTGGATCCTGGCTTCAGATCACTTGGGGAGCAAACCAATGGATGGAAAATCCTTCGGTCAGTCTCTCCTTCTCTCTGTGAATCTGCCTTTCCAATTAAAAAAAAATCAGTAATTTAAAAAATTACATTCATCTGGAGCTAATTCAGATTGTAAGCTGGAAAAACAAACAGTCTTGAAAAATGCACTTTGAGGTGTTGGAAGATGGTGGCCATAGCAAACGCTTCCCAAAGCAAGATGGTGGCAGGTGCAACATCTGTTTCTCAAGAATTGTGACTGGCAATTACCAGAGTTAAGCTGTCCTATAAGAAAGGGACTATGGGTTGTCTCGACCAACAGGTGGCTTAGGGGAAGCAGGGTGTATCTTTCCCCACAATTAGCAAATGCTCAAGGATGGCAATTTACCCCAGGCCAGAGGTCAACACACATGGGGATGTTGTGGTCCTGCCAGACAGCCCAGTTCCAAGTTTGGCCAGCAGATGAGTCTAAAACCTGGTTTCACAATAGCCTCCTGACTCTGCTCCAAGTGCCTCGAACCAAGGCTCCCTTAGTTTGATTTTCCCCCTTCACTATGTGTCTCACCCTCTACTTCAAGAAAAAATGGTGAAGTCTTAACCCTCAGTGGCTGTTCTTGCAGATGGTGTCTTTGAAAATAGAATTAAAGCTAAATGTGAGGTCATTAAGAAAAGCCATCACCTGGTGCTGCTGGTGTCCTTACAGGGCAGGGGAAAAGTGGACCCGTTGGAAGGCCATGAGAAGACATAGGGAGAGGATGCCACCTGCAAAAGAGAGAGGCTTCGGATGCTCCCAACCCTGTTCAATCCTCCGTCTCAGACTTCTGACCCCATGTCAGGAGAAGATGGCATTTCTGTGGCATAAGCCACAGTCAGTGGTATTTTATAATGACAACTCACTGCAAATCACTACACAATAGGAGTCAAAAGACTACAGAGCATCTAGGATGTCCAACTCCATGTTCTGAGATCTATGAAGCAATACACTGGTAGGAAAACTGCCTTACTCTGTCCGGGAGAGCTGCATTCCTACCGGGATCCACGTCAAAGAACCAGCCAAGCAAAATAGCAGGGAATCAGGAATATAAAATGCAACCCTAGGGAGACAGGCCAGAAGACCTTGGGCTGTTTAATATGTAACAAGGAAGAGAATTTAAACCCCCCCTCCTTCTTTTCTTTTCAGTTCTGGCACCTGAAGAGAGCTTTCATGTGCTTCCCAGCCTAACAGAAAAGAGAAATTGAGAGAAGATGCAAACTTAAGTTTAATGGATAGAAATGTAAGACATAAATAGCTCCTTACAGCAACAATGCGAAGGCAACATCTGTTGTGTTGGACATGGGGACTTGAGCTTTTACACAGAGCGTCAGCAGCGCTTCCCCTGGATGGCTTGGTAACGAGGGGCTTGGGCTGAACCTTTTGATTCTCTCCGGTAACCCTTTTCCCTGCCAAGGGGCCCATCAAGTCCTACAAAGACTCCGTGAGGTGGGCAGCGGGTGTGCGCTGAGACGCCTAGGTCTGCACCAGGCAGGGGTCTTTGAAAAGCGAGATATGTGCTGCCTGGATTACACTAGGCCGACAGTCGGAACAAAAGGTTTTCTGTTTGCTTTGGCTTTTTAAAATTTTAACTATTTGGATGAAGCAATGCCAATACAGCTGTAGAAATGCGGGCTGTGCCCTACTTTGCCTCATGCCTCGTCAAGAAAATTGCCAGCCCAGTTCTGATTCCAAAAGTCTTCATTGTGAGGCTGTGGCTAACAAAGGACACAGCTTGACTGGTAAATGACATGCAGGGCCAGCGGTGGGGGCCAGCTGGAAAAATAAAATATTGTTTTGAGCCATTTTATTGTCACTGACAGAGAATATTCATTAACCGTCAGGCATATGGAATATCTTGATGTGGTTCCATGTGTTTACAGAGGTGTTCACATTTACGGGGTTCTTGTGCCTCTTTTAGTGAATCTCCCCATAAGCCGGAAACCTTCTTCAGAATCTATTACTTTCCTGTTTTCTTACAAAGTCTTCCAATATCCTGGAAATTCAGGAAGACTTTTAAAAAAATGTCTATTTTCTATCTACTTGAAAGGCAGAATCCCTGTGTGTCAGTGTGAGTGTGAGAGAGGGAGAGATCCAGATCTTCCATGTACTACACTGGTTCACTCCCCAAGTTCCCATAATAGCCAAAGATGGACCAGGAAGAGGCCAAGAGGCCAGAACCCTACCCAGCATGCCCACGTGGATAGCAGAGGACCAAATCTAGACCATCATCTGATGCCTCCCGAGATACATTAAAAGGGAGTTCAATCAGAAACAGTTACTGACACTTGAGCTGGCACGTTAGTACGGAAGGCAGGTGTCACAAGGCAGCAGCAATTTAACCCACTGAACTATAACTCCTGTCCCTGGAAATGCACTCCTTCTAAATTAGGTTATTCACTGAACAAAGTAACACCTCTTATAAACTTTCACTAGTTTTCTCCCTACACTGGAACAAAATCCACATCCTATTGGTCACAGTATAGTACCCAAAGTATCTAACAGATTATACATGCAAAATAATGAGCTATGAGCAAAGGCACACATTTTTGAGGTGCAGTGCAAATTCATCAAGCACAGCTAGTTTTAAATTCAATGGAACGATGATAAGAGCAGGTATCATAAGGCTTGTAAGGGACTAGAGAAAGAAGGGTCATGGCAGTAGCTTAGGAATGTTGAGTCTTGGGGCTGACACAATAATGTAGCAGGTGGAGCCACTGTCTACAATCCTCGAATCCTGAAGGGGCATCAGTTCACATCCCAGCTACTCCATTTCGGATCCAGCTCCCTGCTAACAGCCTGAGAAGAGGGACAGGAGATGATTCCAGTATCTGGGCTGCTGTTTCCCGTGTGGGAGACTAGGATGAAGCTCCAGGCTCCAGCACTAGCCTTTGCGGCCAGCTGTGGAGTGAATCAGCAGGGCGTGGATCTGTGTGTGTATGTGTGTGTCTCCCACTCCCTTTCTGTATGTCTGCCTTTCAAATAGATACATCATCAAAGAAGTGAGAGATTGAATCTTGACATAATTCTGCTTGAAAATGTTGAGACTGGTATGAAAGTCCACACTTTCACAGCTGGTGAGAATAGGCCTTGAATGAAAGAGTTTGGGTGGCGATTGTAGAAACAACAATTAGGACAATGAGAGGTGGAGAAGGAACCTGGAACTTGACACAGTGTGGGGATTTAGGAAATGGACTGCAATTCACATCTCTGAGTCCTCCCGCCTGAGTGGGAAGAGAGCTGGGGTGATGTATACCCTAACTCCAGTCAGTTCTATACAAATAAATGTTTTCACAGCTGGTAGGAAAAGACCAACCCAATAGAGACCTTATCTGGGTTATCTCAGAAGGCCAGTGTGGGTCAAAGATGCAAAGACAACCGATGATGAGGGAGTTGATGAAGGAGGCAATGGCCACGGGAGTGGGATGAGAGCGCTGGAGACGAGCTCCTGGAGTGTTAGTTTCGAGGCACGCAGGTTGCAACAGCCTTCCACCGTGTAAACGGCTCAAGGACACAGGGTTGACAATTCCAGGAGACATGAGTTGTCCCAGCACAAACACAGATCAAAATAAAGTCTGAGGGACGTGAGTGAATCGATCACCAGTTACTCATGAAAGGGTCAAATCGTCAAGCGACTCGTTGACATGAATAAACAGGTCATGGGTTAAGTGCAGCTTTCAGTCAAGGCCAGCTAAGACAGAAGCTGACCTCGACAGCCCTGTCAGCTCCCATGGAAGCAGAGGGGCTGTGTCTGGGGGCTAGGTCAGCTGCTCACAAGCTTTAAAACCTTGCATAAGCTTGGGCAGGTGTAAGACAAATAGAACATCACCTGCACTAGTTACCCTACATCAGTTTCTGAGGATGTAATGAGGTAATGCACATGGAAATCCTTCAAGATAGGCAAAGTGCTTAAAACGCAATACAGAGGGCCCGGCGCGATGGCGCAGTGGTTAGGTCCTCGCCTTGAAAGCACCAGGATATGGGATATATGGGCGCCGGTTCTAATCCCGGCAGCTCCACTTCCCATCCAGCTCCCTGCCTGTGGCCTGGGAAAGCAGTCGAGGACAGCCCAAAACTTTGGGACCCTGCAACCATGTGGGAGACCCGGAAGAGGCTCCTGGCTTCGGATCGGCATAGCACTGGCCGTTGCACTCACTTGGGGAGAGAATCGTCGGACGGAAGATCTTCCTCTGTCTCTCCTCTCTGTATATCTGCCTTTCCAATAAAAATAAATAAATAAAAAATAAATCTTTAAAAAAAAAACCCGCAATACAGAAAGCACAATAATGGGTGCTCACTTTTAACAAGAACTTTCATTTATATTTCAAAGAAATTGTATTTCCTTGTACTTGAGACTTCCATCCAGAAACACAAACACACAGAGAATACAGTTAGACTCTTCTCTGGAGCCTCAGTCTTTGTTACTGTTGACAGGAAGCTGGCAGCCAGAGGCGTAGCTGACTCCGAGCTAGAAAGACTGGTGAGTCTGTACTCAAATTATCTGAAAGTCTCCAATAGTAAGTCCCCGGCACACAGTCCCTAACTTCTGTGATGCCACAAACCACACAGCTGTGTGTCCTCCTTGACTCTCTGTGCTGGCCACTGTACCTTGACTTCCGACGCTAAACTCCTTCGGCAGATCCAGGATGTCATCTGGGTGGGGGATGCAGAGGCCGTGGAAGGGCCTCAGGTCGAAGCACTCATGCAGTAGCTGCATGTTCACCCGTGAGCACACGCTCATGAAGCCGACAGCTTCGCCATCCACCTGCAACGCCCAAAACACCTTGTTACTCTACCAAGAACCCGAATGGGTTTCATGGTGACCCTTCCATGAGCCCCTGATGGGTAAGGGGAAGGCTGCTGACTTAGAAGGCACGCTGAGGTCCACGAGGGGCAGGTGCCTTATTTGGGTGGCTCTAGTGTCCAATGCCACACACAGCATGTGTGCATTCAAAACATCAGACGAGTGACCATTTGAGAACAATCATAGAAGGGTTGTGACTTAGGGAAATTATCATAATTCTTGAGAGGAAATTATTGGTAACTTTAGCCCTTCTTGTCCTGTTTGTCCTGCAAAAACTACCTTGTCCATAGCCTCAGCCATTTGGTGTCTTTATGAATTTTTGGAAATCCCATCCTGAGTTTAAGGCTCCTATGCACTTTCTTCCTCTCCACCAGACGGTTCTCACACAGGTTATTCCAGTGACCATCTCTTGGTCCCAAATCAAAGTTACAGAGAGAAACATTTTCCATCTACTGCCTCACTCCATCGATGGCCATGATGGCAAGGGCTGGGCCAGGAAGAAGCCAGAAGCCAGGAGCTTCCTCCAGGTCTCCCACGTGGGCACAGGATTGGGGCTTCTACCACTGTTTTCCCAGGTCATTAACAGGGAGGAAAACTGAAAGTGGAGCAGCCAGGACCTGAACCGGCACCCACTTGGAATCCTAAGCTTGCATGGAGCAGCCTTACCTCTACTCATTTTTTTTTTAAGATAACCATTTCATTCAGAAGGAAGAATTCAACAAATACAGGTATCCTTTATTCTCAGGAGTGCAACACATGCCCACAAGTGGCCAGAATAAATGACTGCTGTTTTAATATCTTAAATAGAAGGTCAAGCTAAATTTAATGCTGCTCAAAATGCACAGAAAAAAAAATAAAATTTGGTATTAGAGTTTTTGTTATGATGGAGCCCTTCCAGCTAAAAACCATTTGTGGGGTGTTTGCCACAGAAGTCTAGACACCACTTGGGATGCTTGCGACCCATATCAGAGTGCCTGAGTTTAAGGTCTGGCTTCACTCCCGATGCCAGCTTCTTGCTAACGGCGGGGCAGGCTGGGATGTAGAAGGGGACTGCTCAAGTAGCTGGGCTCCTGCCACCCACTAAGGAGATCCAAACTGAGTTCCTGGCTCTTGGTTTCGGCCTGGCCCAGCCCCAAGCCACAGTGTTTGCAGGCACACAGAGACCGAACCAATGGATGGAAGATCTCTCTCTATCCCTCTCTGTCTCTGTTCCTGTCTCTACCACCCCCACAAATAGGTAAGATGAATTTCTAAAAAAAAAAAATACTTGCTCTCAAATCTGTGTTTGAAAAATAAATGTGAATCTCCTCCTATTTTCTCCCTAATACGGAAACACAAGAGAAATCTTAAAGAAATCATTTTTTCCATACATAATCCTTTGTTTACAGGTCCCTCCAAAATGACACTTGCTGCTAAAGGCTGGGTTTACACAGCTGTTTTGTAAAGCCATCGACACTTTAGTAGAAGTCCAAAATAAACATTTTAATTTTTTCCCCAAATAACTAGTGGCTGTTTGTCTTGTGTGCACCCGTGAACAAAAGGCTGTGTAGCCGCGGTTGTCTGGCTTCTCTGTAATTTCAGGCCCAAGACTCAGCAGACGCTGATTAACCAATCCATCCACCATATGTGCAGAGAGAGACGGCCAGCTTCACTCCCGGCAGGGAAAATTGGCATCCATCTTGGTTCACATGGAGATGTCCTTCTCATCTACAGCCGCGCTGGCGCGCTGGAAACTTCAGTGGCCTGAAATACCTTTCGCTGGCTTCGCGGCAGGCTGCATGCGCCTGATAAGAATGTATTATTTATAAGACTGCTGTTAGTAATGAGCTGTTACACTAATGGCTCATTGTGTTTGGAATCTGATCTCAAATGGCATGGATCACACATTCTGATGAAAATGAGAAAAACATGTTTTGCCATTAGGAACAAAGGTTTAACACTCGCCAGTTCTACAACCTGTTATATTCCCTTCATTCATCCAGGGTTGTAACAATTTACCAAAGTTCACAATTAGAGATTTGCCACAGAGCTGGGACCCATGGTGGCAATGTCTGCCGCTTCCTTTCCCATAATTCGAGAAACATTGCTTGTCAATAAGAGCATTTGCCAGAGTATCCAAATGCATCTTTGTATATGGATGTGTGTTCTCTTAAAAAAATAATAAATTGATTTAATTGACGTTAAGAAAAAAACTGGTCTGATGAAAAGGCACTAATTGGCAGTTTTATTTATTCTCCAAGTGGCACAGGTCCTTTCCGCCATCAGCGTGTCTCCAACGATCTTGCACGGCAGGTTGTAGCTCTTGCTTCTTCTATGAGGACAGGATGAAGCATACAGCTCCGACTGCTAGCAAGCTTTATGCAGCGGCCCTGTTCGCGGCAGCTTATTTAGACACACGCACATGTTATCACTCACACTTGCAGTCAGAAGCCCCACCCTCACCCATCCCTTCGGGGTGACAATCTTTCACAATGAGGGTTTTGTCCTCATTGTGACCATGGCTGGCTGGACTTTCTCCTCTTGATGCCAAACTGATGACTGACCTGGCAGGCTCTCTCCCGCCTGCCGGTCAGCTTTGCCCACTTGGACCACTGCTGCCCATGCCCTGGATGATGCCAAAGCAGACACTTTGCCCTTCTGTCTCCAGGGGCCACCCTTGGCCTCCAGCGGCCCTTGCTTAAAATCCCTGTGTGGACTAAACACCAGATGTCAAGCTAAGCCAGGACCCGGTTATGATAAGGAACTTGCTACAAACTCTGGTGACAGTAGCCTTCCAGCCACGACAAAGGTCCCTTTTGTTCATCTAGGGTTTTCCACAAAGAACAGGCCTTCTACATGTACTTGCCCTCCAACTGCCATGGGATAGTCTGGGAAGAGAAGGCCTGGCAGATTGCTCTGCTGTCTCTGGTGGTGTGGGTGACAAAAGCTTGGTAAATGCCTACTCAGCATTGAGGTAGGGAAAAGCCCGCATTTGTAGCCTTAGCTGATGCCTGTGCCATTGCCGACTGCAGGCTGCAGCAGGAAGCTGCTGAGCTTGAGGGTTACAAAAAGCGGCAAAGGAGCACGTAGAAGCCACAGGCAAGCTCATCGACCAAGAACCCCCAAGTCGGAGAGAACAATAAAATAATTGGAAGTAGTGTCTTTTGAGTATTCATTAATTCTCTAACTCTAGAATTTCTGTAATTCAATTTTGACTAATGGCTACGCTTAACAAGCACCTTGCAAAGTTCTTGAGGATTCAGCAATTAGCTCTCAGGAGGCAAAAGCAAGCTTGCTCAAGCACACCATTCCCTATGGGGCCTTCTAATGGGCATGTCCGGGGAGGCATGCAGAGGGGTTGTTAACAGAATTGACCTTATGGGCATCAGTTCAAGACCAGGCTGCCCCACTTTCCATCCAGCATCCTACTTGGGGCCTGGGATGGCAGTAGCGCAGGGTCCAAAGCCTGACAACCCCACACCCGTGTGGGAGACCTGGAAGGAGCTCCTGGGTCCTAATCAGCTCCAGCTCCAGCTGTTGCAGCCATTGGGGGAGTGAACCAGCAGACAGAAGTTCTTTCTGTAAATTCACCTTTACAATAAAAAAAAAATCAATCTTTAAAAAAAAAATTCACTTTGAACCCTACAAGGTTTCACCAGGTAAAATTCTATTGAGACTGGAAGTCCATCTGCCCACCTCTGCCCTGCCATCTTGAGGGTGCTGCTGAGCTCGCAACCCGAGCCCCATAGGGCACACTCCAGACTGTAACAGCAGAGCTTCTTGGTGGGACCTGGGCCAGACACCTGCTGCCTGTCCAAGAACACCAAAGGCCTGCGCGGCACCAGGCCTACAGTCCTCGGCCTGTGGCCTTGCTCTGATGTTGGCACACAATGGTGGGATAGGACAGGAGTAAGGTCCAGCTGCCTGTTAATGCATTCTGGAAGGCAGCAGATGATAGTCCAAGTCTGTGGGTCCCTGCCACCCCTACGGGAGACCTGGATGGAGTTCCAGGATCCTGGCTTTAGCATGGTGCAAGTCCAGCTCCTGCAGGGAATTGAAAGTAAGCCAGTAAATAAAAGCTCTCTCTCTCTCTATATATATATATATGTTTCTGTATGCATGTGTGTTACTGTCTAATAAATACTTTTTTAAAATCATAATTGTGCTGTATGTACTCAGCAAGATTGGTTTAATTGACCTAAACTGATTCCTAGCCTCAGATTTTTCTTTTGATATAATCTACTTGCTATAAAAAGTCCCTTTAAAAATATGCAATTCAGTAACTTTTAAAATGTCCACAAAGTTATGTAACCATCACCACTAATTCCAAAACATTTTCTTCTCCCCACCACCCCTCCCCCCACCAAAAAAACTGCAATACCCATCATCTGCTTTGTAAGATTCATTTATTTATTTGAAAGGCACAGTTACAAAGTTGAGGGGGACTTTAGGGGGAAGCGAGAGAGAGAGACAGATCTTCCATCTGCTGGTTCACTCTCCAAATGTCTGCAACAGTCAGAGCTGAGCCAGGCTGAAGCCAAGAACCGGAACTCCATCCGGGTCTCCCGTGTGGGTGCAGAGGCTCATACACCTCCAGTTGGTTTTTCCCAGGCTGGTTAGCTGGTTAGCTACTTAACAGTGAGCTGGATTAGAAGGGGGCTAGCCAGGACTTGAACTAGTGCTCATACGCATTAACTTGATACTTCACAATGCCACCTTCCCCAGAACCATTCCACTCGATGGTCTCCAATCTATTTTCTGTCTAGATGGATTCACCTATTGCAGTTTTCATGGAAATGAGATCATACAACACGTGTTTTTTTTATGCACGATATTTGCAAGGCTCAAACATGACAGACTGTGCGCCAGTGTTACATTTGTTTGTCTTTTCAAGTAATATACCATTGTATAGCTGTAACACCTTTGATTGATCCATTCACCAGCAGATAGACAGATAGGCTGTTTCCACTTTGCAGTATTGTGAATAATTCTACTGTGAATATGTGTGTATGAGTCTTTCTGTGAGCGTGCGTTCTCAACCCCAGACAGAGAGTGGCTGGGTGAAATAGTAACTCCACAATTAATTCTTACAGGGACGAGGTCATTGTTTTCCAACCTTCTTGCACCATGTTTTAACCTCACTAGCAATGTATAAGCATCTCAACTACCCCACATTCTTGCCAACACTGATTACTGCCTTTCTTTCTTTTCTTTCTTTTTTTTTTTTTTTTTAGATTTATTTTATCTACTTGAAAGGCAGAGTTACAGTGTGTTAGAGAGGCACTTGCTTCGGCAGCACAGATACTAAAATTGGAACAGAGTGAGAGAGAATCTTTCATCCACTAGTTCACTCCTCAAGTAGCCAAAATGGCTAAGGCTGGACCAGGCCACAGTCGGGAGCTTCTTCTGGGTCTTCCACATGAGTACAGTGGCCCAAGCACTTGGGCCTTCTTCCACTGCTTTCCTAGACACATCAGCAGAGAGCTGGATCAGAAGTGGAGCGGCCAGGATCCATACCAGAACCCACATGGAATGCTGGCCATGCAGATGGTGGCTGAACCCACTCGATGCCACAGCCCTCATTGCCTTTCTTTTTTCATACAAACATTTCATGCGTGGTTTTGATTTGCATTTCCCTAAGTACATCTTCTCATGTGTTTGCTGGCCATTTTTAAATCTTTCTGATTCCTGGATAAATGTCTGTCTGAAGCTTTTGCACGTGAATGTGGATGATCCGTCTCTTGCGGTAAGAGTCCTTTAGCTATTTTGGTTCCAAGCCCTGTGGCACACACATGGTCTCCAACCCCACTGGTGATGTGAAGCTAACCCTCCAACTTCCCTTGTTATCCAAATCAGAGAACTCCTGCTTCTGGTTGCTTTTATTTTTTTTGTTTTTGTTTTTGCTTGTTTAAGAAAGAAGCAGAAGAAACAGGATATTCAAAAGCAATGAAAGACCCAGACTTACTTCCACCAGGAAGGACCTATTGGAAATGTCAGCAGAACTTCAGCAAGGTCTGATAATAGGATTGCACGAATTGTAATTGCTTCATTTTTATCAAGTACTAAGATCATGTAAGAGAACATCCTTGTTTTTAGAAAACATTTACTGAAGTATCCAGAGGTAAAGGGACATTATGTCTGCAAATTACTTTGAAATGGTTCAGAAAAGCATATATGGGCAGATCAATTACACAGATAAGCAAGAAGATGATAAGATGGATAGGGTACAATGTTAACACTTAAGGGAAGCTGGGTGCTTACAGGTCTTCCATCAATGTGAAATTATGTTGAAACATACATTGCTTTTTGTTAATCGCCTCTTGTAAGTGGAGCAAACGCCTAGGATCTGAAGACACTCGGAAATCCCTTATACCCCGCCCCCCCGGCAGGTATTCCTCTCCCGTTCACTGCAATACCTGCTTCTCAGGGGCAGGGTAGAAACCTGACAGCAGCCAACGGCATACGGCAGGACCTCATGGCAGGAAGCCTAAAGCCACCAACACTGGCTGGGGCTTCAACAGCTCCAGCGGTGCTCAGCAAAACCAGGACAGCCTCTTTCTTTGTTCTCACGGTTCACTTTCCCCCACCAAAACTACCACCTTAAGGGGAACTGGGGGAGAAGGCGGTCACCAACCTCACACACAACGGCATGGTTTTCTTCATCTTGGGCCTCTATGAGTTCGGCCAGGAAGTATTCGCCATACATCTCCTTCAGAATGGTGTCGTGGCGCATAAATATGGGCATGAGGTTGTCATGATCTTCCACTCTGTTCAACAGAAAAGCTCTGGGTTCAGTGTTGGTTCCCTACCACAGGCCAGACCCCGCTCAGAGTGCCAGGGACAAGGTAACACCCTTAGGGAATGAACTGACTGTCCTAGCAGTTCTTTCTGACGATAAGAAATGTCATCCACATAATTGACTCCAGATGTCTCACACGGGCAATACCCGCTCTGGGATGAATAGTGACAGGGCAGCCATGAAGCATCAGGAAAGACTTCCATGAGCAGGGACAGGTGGCTGAGACCACATTTGTGAAGAGATCAGAGGATGCCATGTTGAGATCTGGAGGGGCACTGGGCAGATGTGTTTAGGCTGAGTCTATGGGACTGCACTGGCTGTAATGCATGCTGCCACCAGCATCTCCCACCAGTGTTCCAAACAGCAATACTTCTGCGCCACTGTCCCCATCCCTTCCCCTATGCAAAATTTCAATGCCTAAATCTGTAACTTACCACAGGTTTCCTCATGGAGCCTCAGTTTATACAATGGACTCCGAGAAGCACCACAATAAAGAATACTTAGCTTCATTTGGGCACTTCTCCGACACAGGCCTAATGCATCTTTTACTGCTGAGACACTGTTAACCTTCCTGGGCAAGGCAAACCCTGCTGAAGGGAGTGATGCTCTGCCTGTCATCCTGGGGACCTCCACCTTGACCTCCACTTTGACCTCCACTTTCAGATCCACGCAGCGATCTCAAAATCTAGTCATGAGCAAGTTGAGGGCACGATATCATTGCATGACAATTCTAGCTCTTAGCTATTGAACCTTTCTTTTTAACTGTTCATTTCTCGAGCAAACTGGCTTAATTTTACCTGTCTAGAACTCTTACACCTTGTTTTAGATCTCTTAATTCCTGTGTCTTTACCACTAAAATGTCCAGTTTTGTATTTTTTTTCCCAAAATGAGAGATTTGGCTACTATGATCTCCACCCCTCTCCTTTGTCATTGCTCTGCCATCTTCAATATTTTACTTTTCTCTCCCAGTATGTTTTCTCTGAAGTTAACAGTAGCTCTGTCACTATTACCTTTTTTTTTTTTAAGTTTTAGATCTTATTTTAAAAGATTCATTTATTTTATTTGAAAGGCAGAAATTACAGAGAGAGAGAGAGAGCGAGAGAGATCTTCCATCTGCTGGCTCACTCCCCAAACAGCTGCAATGACCAGGGATGGATGAGACTGAAGTCAGGAGCTAAGAGCTTTATCAGAGTCTCCCATGCGGGTGCAGGGGCCCAAGCATTTGGATCATATTCTGACACTCTCCCAGGTGCTTTATGCCACTACACCCAGGGGCTGGATCAAAGGTGGAGCAGCCAGGAATCAAACTGGTGGATATATGGGATGTCAGTACAGGGAGTGGTAGCTTAACTCACTATGCCACAGCACTGACCCCTCAGGTTATCTCATTGAAGAGCATGAGGTGGGGAGAGGTGGGGGCAAGCACAGCTCTTCAGTCCTACCAGGGGCACTAGAACCCCTCCCTACCTTTGCCCTCCAACAAGTTCTCCTCATACTATGGCAGGACTCTGTACAACTGCCCCATGCATGAGAAGGATGGTGTGAAATGGCTCAGCCACTCCATCTCAGGCAGGAGGTCAATTATTTTGGATACTCCCCCCGGCAAAATGCAATACCAAAATAAATTAACCTTTTCAAATAAAATTTTGTTTTCTTAATGGTACCACACTGATGTCCAGCTTTTTAATTTTAAAGACAGAGGGAGATCTGCCATGTGGTAGTTCATTGTCCCATGTGTCTACTATAGCTGTGGCCAGAACCCAACCTACCTCGCTCATGTGGGTGTCATGGACCCAACTCCTCAAACCATCCCCTTCTGCTTTCCAGATGGGCATTAGCAGGAAGTGAGAATTAGGGATGGAACCAGGACTCAAAGGCAGGCATTATAACCTGGGATACAGATCGCCCATGCAGTGTATTAACCACTCTGCCAACGGCCTGCCTCTTTGCAAACTTTCTGAAGTACCTGCATATAGAAAATACAGGACTTCATCCAGATCATCTGGTGCTGAACTTCCCACAGCAAACCCAAGGGGGGAGGGCCGGCCCTCTTCACCTTACACACGGAGGACAGCCCTGCCCCCAGGAATGACAGAAGAGGTGGCAACAGAGCCACAGTAGGAAGTCAGGTCTGCTGCCCTAAGCCCAGCCTTCATACAGGAACTGCTAGGGTGACAATGAATTTGATACTTTTTGGGCTGCTGCTGTGGTATACTGGGTAAAGCCTTTGCAGGAAAAAAAAAATCTCAGAAAGAAAAAATAGAATTTGACACTGCTTTTGGAAATTAGTAACAAGAGGCTAAAAAGCTGAGAGGCCAGGCCTTGGTGAACAGATCAGCATCCAACTGGTCTCTCCCTATTCACACCACCACACATTCCCCAAATCTAAACTCCGAACTGGGTAACCCCACGTGTGCTCGATGCAAGCTTCCACCTACTCCCAGAATGAAAGCTTTACTTCCAGTGACACATACTCAACTGGTAGAGCAACACTGGAGTTTCATCAAAATCAGTATGTACCATGATGGAAGAGACATGTGTGGGTGTACTTCCAAAATTTGTGGACAATGGAGTGCAAAAAGGAGTTTATTTTGGTACAAAAATATTTTTTAAGTTCATGGATCATTCTTGGTAACGTATATTTCCCATGAATGTTTCTAAAGACCCCTTGGTTGCAAGCCCTTTTTTTTGCACCAAAAGAAACTTACTTTCTAATTGCATTGTGCTATTAGGTTTCTGAAATATGCTCATGTCTAGAAACCAAGTCAGGCTGGTACTCTACCCAACCTCAGAGTTAGCCAACAGAGCATAGTCTGAGAAGGAAAAAAACAAACAAAAAACAAACAAAAACACTCACAGAAGATGTCTGCCCAGGGGAGTACTAACATGCCTCCCCAATGGCATCTCACTGCTGCCTCTTGTCAACACGCTGGGAGAACACACTGCGCAGTGCAGGAGAAGGGGGCCCTCTCCTTATCCAGGTGCGCAGAATCTCTGTGGGTGTTGGTTTGTTTTACCAGGCCTGGCCCTGATGCCACCCCCACCAAGCAGTTGCCTCCCATGTGGTCCAAGTGTCACCACGTATTATTTGGGTGAGAATTTGGATGCTGACTGCTCCCCAAAGGCCCCTGTGTGAAAAGTTTGGTCCTGTGTCTTACCATAATGGAGATCAAAGGGCTGACTACTTGTTCCAACGACAGTGCTCGGAGGTGAAGTCTTTGGGGGTGACTGGCCTGGATTGGCCTCCACACCTTAGACCTGGTGACATTTTTATAGGCCCACAGAGGTTTCCTCTGCCATCTACTACTCTGTGCCACCTGGCAAGTGCAGAGGCTAAGTCGGTGCAACTACCTGGTCCTGGAGTTGAACACTCAAAATTCTGAGCTGAAGCAACTGCCAAAGGTATTTCATTGTAGTGACCAACCGAGAGCTTCTCAGGAGGTGAGGATGAAACAGGGACCCAGAAACGAACACCAACTGTGTTTGGAATGGGAATGACTGGACTTCAGATGTGTGGCCATTTTTCTAGTAATTTCAGCCCTTAACGTCATCCTTGACCACTTGCACAGCTGCTTTCATGTGTCTGGGATCACCTGGAAAATTACCAGTGGAATCAGTGTAGCAAGTGTAGCAGGACTCCACCATAAATGCATCAAAAAAAAAATTGTGCTGTTAAGACCGATCAGAGCAACAGCCACACAGCATAGTGGCCACTGCCTGAGCTGAGAAGCCAGACCACCTGAATCTGGACCCTGCCTCTGCCATTGGGACCCAGAACATGGATCTTCTTCTCTATGCCACACTTTTCCCATCTGACACAAAAATAGGAAACAATAAGAAAACAGGTGAAGCTTTGGTTATTGCCCTTATTACAATAATGGTAATCAGGAGGGCCCAATGAAACACCCGGAGGACACCTATAATCAGCAGGTACAATGGGTTTCTAACTGCAGAACACAGCATCCCTGCACTGGCTTCCCACCCACCATTGAAGCAATAAACTCTGTCATTCCATCTGCTCAGGCTCTGCCTTCCTCACCTCACTCCCTCACGCATAAACTTCTACAAAGCTCTCCTCTCTCCTACCCCTCATTTCTGGGATGGGTACAAAGTCCTTTTCTTCCAACTTTCCTCTTTTACTACCAATGACAAGAGTTGATGCTACTCATTGCCCCTACAGGCGCCCTTGCCATCCTCCCTCATCCTGCCTCTATCCTCACTGAGTGCTCTAACCTCATCGCCCATTCTGAATTCCATCATCCTTCCAGAAACAGCTCTACCTCACACCCTCCAGTGACACTTCATTTTGACCCCCTTTCCTGGGAATGCAATGATAAGCTGACCAGTGACCCTTCCTGTTGACTCTCTTTCCTGGGAATGCAACTATGAGCTGATTACCAGTTCTGGGGTTGATTTCCCATGGCCAAGGTATGACATCTTCCCAGCTAGGGAATACACCAGGCAGTCCTATAGCCTGCAGCACAGCAGTGACAGACAGCAAGGACTGGGCACTTAAGCTGTGCTGGGACCTTGTCAGGGACCTGTACACTGACAGTACTGAGAGATGGCCACAGGAAGTCTGATGGGGACACCCCACCTACACTTTACCCTTTGACTCCACTAGTTGAAAAACCAGCCAAGTCACTTCAATCCCAAGCCTTGCTTTTTCTTGCCCACAAATAGGGTGGGGACAAGGACAGCTGTGAGGATGCAGTGATGAAATGCTGACCGGAGCCCAGCATCTTGTGTGTAGAGCGCCCTTGGCAAACACACGCTCTCCAATCGAGCCTGCAGGGGCCCCAAGGAGAGGACCCAGAACATGCTCTGCTTCCTTCCAGAAGCAATACGTGTATAACTTATCAAAGCTGATGACAGGTAGCTTTTCTCTGTAAAAAGAGTTTGCTTTAAAAAAAATTCTAAGAGGAAGGCCACTGAACTTATCTGGACAATAAGACGCTGAACTTTATG